TGGAAGAGCCATTCAAATAAATTACTGAGTCTTTACCCATAGAAGGTAGGCACCTAAAAATCTTCATTTTAAACAAATTCCTAGATGATATTATTGCTGAAAATCTAGAGCCCATGTTTTTGAAGATGACTAAAATGTATTGTATTTTAGGCTTAAAAACAGTTTTGTTCAATATTCTGCCATTGGACTTGTTCAATATATATAAAAGCATAAACACAAATCTATACATGTTAGAAACTTGTGAACATTTGAACAAGAATGAAGCTGTCTGAAGAGACAAAAAATGTGACTGTTCAGGAAAAACTTAAAGCACAAAAATATCAAAAGATTTTGCTTAAGTACATGGAGGAATTTAGGGCTCAAGAAACACATAGACACAGTGAAGAAAAGTTTGTTCTCAATACAATTTTTTAATGATGGTTTTTCACAAAGCCTGTGAAAGACTTCAAGATGGTAAAACAAAAGTTACCATTGTGAAAAATGTTACATTTAAATTCCTATTGGAATGAGAAAACGAACCACTGCCAAGTAGAATTCAATGATTATCTTAAATTTTGGCAATTACTTTTAGATGAAGGGCTAGAAATTAATACTCTAGAGGGAATATTCTACATTACAAGATAGATTTATATTTAAATCTTCAAAAATATAGAGTAAAAATAAAATAAAATAAAAAGTAGCCTGCTTACGCAGACGCAAGGACCAGGGTTCCGGCCCCACCCCCAGAGTGCTCTGAGACTGCAACTGAGACCGGACATGGTAGCCTGTAATCCCAGTGCTTAGGAGGCCGAAAAACAAGATACCGCTATGAGACCGATATATCTCCACATTCCTAAGGAATAAGTAAAACTGATTTTATTTATTTCAGGCACTATTATAAAGACACTGCTAAAATTGTTTTTCATATCCACTCAGTGTAGCAATTTGTAAGCTATTTTCAATTTTTCTGGCAACTGCAACACGATCATTCTTGCCACTATTTCTGACTTTGGAGACATTTCGTATTTTGATTCATTAACTGCTTTTATATATTTATTTTGTTTATTTTATTAAAACACCAAAACTTTTTTCAAAATAAAGGTCTAAACATTGCATCAACTAGGGGCTGGGGAGATGGCTCAGTGGAATAAGCGCTTCCTTGGCAAGCGCAAGGGGCTGAGTTCAATCCCCGGTTCCGTAAAAAAAAAAAAAAAAAAAAAAAAAAAACCAAACAAAAACAAAAAATATTGCATCAACTTAAAAAAAGGTCTCAATGGGCTAATTTTAGGACAAATCTTAAAAACAACATATTGGTGATAATCTTAAAATCCTAAAATAAAAGTCAACCATATAAATATCGGATAAGGAGAAGAGCAATCACAAAAAATACGAAAGAAAAAGAATTTAGAACACTATGTAGCCTTGATTTTTTTTTTTTTTTCCTGTGTTTTAGGGAAGGGTCTGCAGAGTGTTCAGGGTCTTACTACTAGATTGGGCTCGTGGTGATTTTCCTGTTTACAGCCTCCTAAGTGCTGGGATTGCTGGTGTACACCACCACACCCATTCTCAATCACCCAGTCTCAATCCTCTGAGTGTGCCCTGGGGGTGGGGCCAGCACTGCAGGCCCAGGGATGGAACCACTTGCCTCACCCCTGCTTGCAGATGCTTTAATCCCCTCCTGAGCTATTTGGCTGGCCCTAGCCTTGATTTATGTACTCTGGCCATGAAAAAGGTCATAGCGAACAAACACAAAATGGTCATAATAGGCTCCCTTACACCTAATATGGGACATTGAAATTAAACAGAAAAAAAATAAGTTTGTTCAAAAAGCCACCAATCACATGAGAACACTTAACAGTAAAAGGAGTCATCTTGTCTTCAGAAAATTCAGAGGGGATACAAGAGCAGTTTTATATAATTGGACTATTTTTCTATATGACCAAAAAATAATGCCACATATAGTTGTAACGCTGCTTCATATATACAAGTCCCTAGATGAAAAGAGGGAAGGGAAAGCTGAAATTCAGTTTACATTTCACCTACATTTCCTTGGCAAGGGTTGAGACCAGGTGGAAAAATGGAAATTTTCTCTCATTACATAAAGGAGATAGCTCCAAGGTTTTTCTTTTTGGTGAAGATACCTTTTTGAATTTGAAAAACCAAACAAAAAAGACACAATAAACTAGTGGCAACTCTAGCTCTAAAAGTAGAAGTAGGTCTGTGAAAGAATTTTGTAGAGAAATTACAAAATTACATCTTTATTGTGGCTTCAAAATACTAAGATAGGTTGTGCTTTTTTCTGGCATTTGGTTGTGTCTTCTCATTTAGACTTATTGCTCCATGATGGAAATTGCTGTTTGGTTAGGAAGCTTCAATATCTAAATCTCTCTGTCCTGTCCACAAAGAAGTACCCTTGCTATACTGAGAGAAAGTCACATATATCCCATATGTGACTTAGCCTCATGTTTATTTTGTAGAGAAAATAGTTTCAGCTTAATGTAACCTATTGATAGAGACATATATCATAAGGAAATACATTTTATGAAAAGCTATTTATCTTCCAATTGGTTGTTGAAAGACCCACTAGACAACTACATGACAAAGTTGCTTAAGAGAGGATTCAGGTGGAAAGGTCTGTCCATGTGTATGTTCACATTCATGGGGGAGGTGTGTGTTTAGCAGGTGAGGGTGAAACTCAATATCCGTTCAACTCCTAGGATTCTTCATTTGAACTATCTATCTTCTCTTCTGTATCTTAGCTAACTCCCAAGGTATTCAGACCTCCTCTTACCCCAAATTTATTGTGCATTCTAAATTTGCTTTTACCCAGCTAAATTTCTTTTCTCATCCCCTTTCTTTTCCTGTCCCTCCCTCAGTATGCAAAAAGCAAATATACTTGAAAATAAACTTTGTATTTTAAAACTTCCAGATTTAAAAACATCCAAAAATGCTTAAAATAGGATAAAACTCATTTCTTAAATTCTCAATATATTCATTAGAGAAAGCTAAATTTCGTTTTTAAATGATTTTATACATCAGTCACTGAAAGCCATGAGTTAGGGGGGCTGCACCAGAAACAGTATGACAGTCTCTTTGTGGAAGTCTCTTCAATATTTATACTACATTTGTCTGAAGTAACAAGGCTTTTATTGGAAAGGAAAATGTTTAATATTATAAAAGTACTGAAATAAACATGAGGCTAAGTCACACATGGGATATATGTGACTTTCTCTCAGTATAGCAAGGGTACTTCTTTGTGGACAGGACAGAGAGATTTAGGTATTGAAGCTTCCTAACCAAACAGCAATTTCCATCATGGAGCAATAGTCTAAATGAGAAGACACAACCAAATGCCAGAAAAAAGCACAACCTATCTTAGTATTTTGAAGTCACAATAAAGATGTAATAATTCAAAATGCCTCAAATGATGTCTGTTTAAAATATTTATGTAATGATTGTAGACTAGAATGATCATGTAAGACAACTTTTCAAAAATTTTAAGAAACCTGTTTCAGCTAGGGTGTAGATCAGTGGTGAATGCATGCTTAGTAAAAAATAAGGGGAAGTGAAGAAAAGCAAAGAAAAAGGGGAGGGAAGTGAAGAGAAGGAGATAAGAGGGGAAAGGAGAAAATTGCACAGGAGGGGAGGGAGAGGAAGAGGAAATCAGTTTCCACATTATTTTCAAAATGAAATTAACAATGAGATTAGAAACTTACAAAAAGAGAGTGGGGCTGGGCATGGTGGCACACATCTATAATCCCAGCACTTAGGAGGCTAAGGCAGAAGAATTGCCGTGAGTTTGATGCAATTCTCAAACTCATGGCTGGCTTTGAACCAGGACTACATAGTAGGCTCAAAGCCTGACTGAAATATACAGTGAGAGCCTATCTCTGAAAAGAACTACAAAGAGAAGGGGAAGGAACAAGGAGGGCGAGAGGGAAGGAAGGAGGGAGACAACGGTGTAATGGAGCGAAAAGACAGACAGGCTTTCTGACATATTTCTGAAAACAAACATACTTTGTATATGATAGTTTTATTTTTCAAGTTATAGAAAATTAGAAACACTTTCTAGGAAAAGAAAATTATGTTGTTTTCCTAGCAGAACACATATACAATGGACACACAAATACTTGATATTTGTTGGGGGAAAAGCTATCATACTTGCATAATAGGCTCTTGGTATTTTATTAAGATCTTTTATAAAGAATATATTGTTGCAAATTTATCCTCCCTACAGATATTTTATAATTTTTCTGTGTCCCACTGATTTTCAATTTGCCACTGGAAGTGTCTAATTCAATATAATCAACCAAAGATTTTCATCATTTAATTGGGGTATCATTCATTTGAAAGCTGCTTGAAAATTGCTCATGGCCATTCATGTCTTGTGTTATATACGCATTTTTTAATTTCCTGTGTTATAATTTCAGAGGTGGTAAAACTCATGCAGAATTACATAAGGCCAATAACATACAAGTGACACATCCTGTCTTGAAGCTAATTAGCTAATGTCAACATATTATGAAAAACCTTGTTACCTAAACAAAACAAAGCAAAAAATGGCGAATATAAAGGTTTGACAAATCTCGGAAAAGGGAAACAAAATTCAGAAGCTTCATTTGGTATGTAGGTTTTAAGGTTATTTTTCTATCAGCTATCTAAACATCTTACTTATAGCAAAAATAAGAATGACAATCTTGAGATCATTTCATCCATTTACAACAAGCATTCAGAGTCCTAGCAAGAAGGCAAGAGTGACCACAGAAAGAAACAGAGGCAAAATAAACAATCCTTTTCATTATCGCAATTTGGATTAATACTTCAGTGCCTCTCTTTAGAGGCCTAGAATGTGACACTATTTTTTTCTTCCTCTAAAGAAGTTACTACTAAAGTTGCCAAAAGTTGAGTTATTATGTTTCCCTCCTTTTCAAACTGTCCTATTATACACAATTTTCTCCTTTATAAATATAGACTACTAGAAATGTCTAGAGTCTTAGAGAGTTAACCAATATGGTACTTACATTCACACTGTATGACGTCTAAGTTAAATTGCTGAACAGCTCCCATGCTTATTTGTTTTAACTCACTGTCCAGTAGCATCTGCATTAAGGATGTTGACAGATGCTGGCAGGCCGACATGCAAGCTGTTTGAGCAACTTTCCCCTGTTTAAAATAGCCAAACAAACCAAAAAACAAATAAACACAGACACATAAAATACCACAAAAAATTATTTACCTAGCATTCTTTTTGTTGATACAGTCATGACCACTGGCTTTTATTTTTGTGTTCAGAATGCCTATGCCTTTATATTACAGACATTAAAATCAATAGTACTAGTTCTCTCACTTTCCTCAGGATATGTTAAAAATTTAACTGTGAAAATCAAAATGAAAATACAAGTTCAAAAATCATTACTTTCAGATCTTTTGAGATTTTTTTTTTTTGGTCTTTTTGAGACAAGGTTTCACTATGCAGTTCAGGCTGACCTTCAATTCATTCTGTAGCTAAAGTTGGTCTCAAACTCACAATTCTCCTGCTTCAGCTTCCTGAGTGCTGAAATTATTGGTGTGCATCACCACACCCAGCTTATTTCAGATAATTTTAATTGCATATTAAAATGACATACACAACATAAAATCACTGTCATAGTGATAAAACATTTAATCCATACAATTCTTTTTAAGCTCTCCTTCACACATCAAATCAAGACAGAATCAAGAAAATCAAGGGCTAGCCAAATAGCTCAGCAGATTAAAGCGCCTGCAAGCATGTGCAGAGGCTAGTGGTTCAATTCCCCAGCCCGCTGTACTGGCCCCTTAAGTCTTAAGTCTTCTGCTCCAAGTTATTAGCTTATGGCATAGCTTCAATTACTGATGGAAAAAAAGGCCTGATACTAGTAAGGCATTAATTTCACCCACAGATCTGTCATTTTAGAAATTAAGCTTTTTCTTTTTTTTTTTTCATTTTACATATTTGGTACAGGGTCTCACTGCACAGCTCTGACTCTGCAGCTCTCATAGTGATCCTCCCATTTTCAGCCTCACCAGAGCTGGGATTACAGGCATATGCCACCATGCCCAGATTCCATCAGGGGTTCAGCTCTCCCTGGGAGCAGGGCCTGCAAGGCATGCCGACTAGGGATGAAATCTTGGTCCCTGAGCTTCCCAAAGCAGGCCCTTATTCCACTGAGGTATCTCGCAGGCCCTTAGAAATTGTTTTAAATTCACCTGGTAATTTAGAAATATATAGTCATGTACACTAAAAATTACTGTGGTTTTCTTTCACTATGATTACAACATATTTAAAAGGATTTTTTTTGGCCCCTCAGATGCCTTAAGGGCAGGTCTGGCAAGGCATGAGGATCTGGGGATCAAACCACAGAATTCTGAACCTGACTGCTTTACATAAGCAGGCACTTAAAGAACTGAGCTAATGAGCAGGCCCCCAATTACAACAAATTAAAAAAAAATATTTCCTACTATAATAAGCACCTAAAACTCTACATGAAATTTCATTTTTTCACTATTACCCTTAATTGAAATGGCTCCTTAAAAACAGCAATTCCTTAAATATTTATTTAGGCTCTACGGCTGAACATTAAACCCAAGGCTTCATAGATGCTACACAAGCACTCTATGGCTGAGCTACAGCCGAAATACTTTTTATTTTTATTTTGAAACATGGTTTAATAAATGCTGGCCTTGAACTGAGAATCCTTTTCTGTATTGACGACTGAGTAGCTATAACAGATATGCACCACAGTGTCTGGCTATAAATTGTTTCCTTAAACAGGTTTTGCATTTCAAGTGGAACTTTAAAATATGATAAATAATCTTTTAGGCAAAATTTTCCAGCAAAATACTGCTTCTAGAATGGGTATTGACTGACAATTATGTGATTGGGTGATGACTGATATTCTCTGTACTCAACACAGAGGCCAATAAAGCTACAAAATCATGAAAAATATCTTTCAACATAGCACTACAATATACTAGTACAAAAATATTTATGTAGTGTTGACGTAAAAGGTAATAAAAATACAAACATTTTCATGATGTTTAGTAAAATATTTGTTCTTTAAATTACACATTAAAAATTAGACGACAAAGCAACTTTTATGAATTACTCTTTCAGCATTTACATACTATGCACAATGGAAAACTCAATAGCTAAAATGGAACATCAATTTTCCAATCAAAAACTTTAGAGACAAAAGCGGATGCCAACAATAAATGTGACAGATACTGATGAACTGCCAAAAACAATGTAACAAACAATGAAAAACCCAGCATGCTTCAAGATCCTCTAAGCCCTACAGGAATTAGTTTAGGAGACAGGCAGTTCCATTCCTCAAACAGAATAATATCAATATGAATGAGGGGGGTGGTTAAAGCAGAAAAAGGAGAAATCAATGGCATGTTGTTTAATTACAATGTAATAGGCTTGAGCTTATTGGAAATGTCATTTTAGAATTATCATCTTGATATAATGAAACAAACACATTTTAGTTTAAACTTGGGCATATATTTCCAAAATATTTCTGATACCTAAAGCCCTTAGCACATTTAGGTATAATCAAAAAATCCCTTTTGAACACTATTCTTGCTACTGTTGGTATTTTCAGTATCATTTTCTAAAACAAAAAGAATCTAAGTATTTATACAATTATCTTTAAAAATTAGCCCTTTCTATTTAAAGAAACTTTAATATAACAAAGCAAAAATAATTAAGAAAACAATGTCTGTTCAATACATTTTAAATACACTGTATCTAGAAATTACTCCTGTACTCATCTCAAAAATTTATTGCAACTAGTAAGATTTTTTTAAACACATTCTTTCACTTTAACAATGCAAGGTTCAATAAATAAGTAAAAACACCTGCTATACTTTTAAAGGTAACTTTTTTTTAAAACCCTGCTCTAACATTTTGCTGAAAAACAGCTTAGAGAGAAAACCCTTAGACAAACTTCTTATATTTCAAAGGAACTTGTAAAAGAGAATCTGCTGACATATTAGATCCCTTTTGCATTACTCAAAAGCTTTTCTTCTAAGAACAATTGTGGTAAAGAGACATTTGGCTCCTAGGAAATTCCCAAAGGGTCAACCATATGCATCCTTCCATGGCACCTTCACAGTGCTGCTTTCTGGATTCATGCCTCAAAAGCAGCTTTCATCATTTACTTGTGTGTCAGTCAATATGATTTATGGACTGCATTCAACAAAGTTAAAGCATATAGAATGAGAAATATGACTACAATTTGCTAATTTGTTTTGTATTGAGCCATTTAAGAGTCAAAGACCTGATGTCAGACTGAGACCAGCAACACAATTAACCAGCCGGTGACAGATTCATCCATCCTCCCTGCCAGGCTGTGCCAATCAAAGACAGCATGAGGTGACATTTGGTGAAATCAGTAAGAAAACTCGTTCTCTAAATAACCTATGTGAGGCCTTGATTGACACTTTTAAATTTAGTTTGTGGAACACAGACATGCTTATCCAATAGTACCACACTGCAAGCTGTGAAATTAGACTTTTAACGCCAATCACAGGAACAACAGACCACTAACCATCAACCTCATTCTAAAAGGAATCAAGAAAATGTTTATATCTGTGTATCAAGCCAAATTTCCAAAATAATTCACTATTATAGATTAGGCTACAGATACTCTTTCTTTTGAAATGTCATAAAATCACATGGGATAGGGCTGGGGAGATAGCTCAATAGAATAAGCGCTTGCCTGGCAAACACAAGGATCTGAGTTCAATCTCTGGTTCCGCAAAAAAAAAAAGAAAAGAAAAGAAAATTAACGATTAAATAAAAATTAAAAAAAATTTTTTAAAAATCACATGGGATGAAAGCATTAGATTATAGCTGAAAGTTTTGATTTCAAAGGAATGTTTTCATATATTTAATATAATAGTAGGAATGCTGAATACTTATAAACTAATTTGGTGCTATAAATTTTCATTTGAAGCTTTACAGTTATTCTCTTATTTCAAAGGCTTAATTTTAATGATAATTCTTCAAAAATATTTTCTTGTGTTGCTTTCATTCTCTCAAGTACATGCGACATAAAAATGCACTCTTGCAATCACACCCACTCTTTCTATATAGGTCTAATCTTTTTATAAAGGTTCCACTCTTCCGTAATGATCCCAGAGTCCATTTTCTCTTATTTATATCTGAACATTAAAAAAAAAAACCCTGCTTTGCACAATTAAAGTTTTTTTTGGGTTTTTTTTTGTGGAACTGGGGATTGAACTCAGGCCCTTGCACTTGCCAGGGAAGTGCTTATTTTACTGAGCTACTGCCCCGGCCCCAATTAAACTTTTTTTACTTAAATAAAAAAGAAATATATAGATGCAAATGCACAGTACACTGCATTAATCTTGAAATTGATAACAGGCTTTGTTTTATAAAGTTATGTAACCATTGTAAAAAAAATTAAGTCATGGTCTATTCGAGTATAAAATTTAACACTTGTTAAATAAACCTATTAATTCTGGCCAAGGTTTTTAAAATTCAAGCAGTACATTACCATTTTCTATAAATGCACTGCTTTTCAGTTTGCTATATATTTGTTATGAGTCTGAAATAGTCTTTTCTGAGGTAAAAAAGGAAAGGGAGCACTTGAATGAATTCATCAATCTTCTAAAGAGCCACAATGTAGTACCTTTTAAAACATACAGACTAAAGGAAGCAGGTCTGTAATCAAATGTGGAGTTTAATACTAAAATTAGAAACGAACTCTTAAGTGAAAAATAAGATGCCTAGCTGAAGTACAGAATTTTAAAACAGAAATATATTATTCTTTCTTCTGGTTTATACATACAAACCCACTAAAATTTTACTATATGAGATTACATCTTACTTAAATGTAAAAATGTTATTAAATCAGAAAAAAGAAAACATTAACATAGAATATGATCATTTCCCCCAGGATTATTTCACAAATGTACAAGGATGCCTTACAAGATATACTTTAATCTATCTTCAGAGTGAACACTCAATATAACATGGAAATGTCTCAAATTCCCAATAATACAGAATGTGTGAGTTATAAAAGTTTAAATATCAAGATAAATTTCCCTAGTGGGGTTTTTGTTTGTTTTGTTCTTTTCTGTATTTTAGGAAAGGGTCCACAGGGTGTTCAGGGTCTCACTAGTAGATCGGACTCACAGTGATCCACCTGTTTATAGCCCTCCCAAGAGCTGGGATTATAGGCATGCGCCACCATGCCCAGTTTCAATTGTCATCTCAGCGTGCCCTGGGGCCGGGGCCAGGGCCAGCACAGCAGTATTGAACCCTGGCCCCTTGCACCTGCTTGCAGGTGCTTTAATCTGCTGAGCTATTTGGCTGACCCTTATTTTTATATTTCTTAACTCACTTTCTGTCCTGATGTTAGCATATCAGCAAACAACAATCCATCGGAGTTATGTATAAAATCCCATTCTGCCCTCTTATGCTGCTGTCCCTCCTTCTAACAAGCCCCATTTATAAGAATGTGAAATAGTAACACAAACACTTGCTCCTGGAACACACATGGGGGGTGGGGGAGCTATCAGATAGAATATAAAATTAAAGCAAACATTTTTCCCAAAGTGAGAAAACTTTAGGACTTCTTACAGTACATGGCACATCTTTAGTCTTTCAAAATGCATTCATCATGGTTTAGACAGAAATTTCCCCCAGAAGTGTCAAGTACTCAGAGGTGGGGCTTTTGAAGAGTGAGTACATTATAGATGAAGGATAGCTGAGTTGCTGTTAGAAGCCAGGACCTACTTGGAGGTACATCACTGGGTGCACAACCTGAGTTTATCCTTTTTTTTTTTTTTTTTTGCAGAACCAGGGATTGAACTCAGGTCCTTGCACTTGCCAGGGAAATGCTTATTCCACTGAGCCATCTCCCCGGCTCCTTATTCTTTTTTTTTTAATGAAAAAAATTTCATAACGAAGTAGGAGAATAAGAATAGTTAATACACTGAGTACTGTTATCTTCAAAGTAGTTTCTCAGAGTACAAGATATGGACATAAAAAGTTCTTCAAACAGTACTAGCACAAACCTTTCTTCTCAATGAACTAAGAGAAACTGCTAGTATAACTATCTTGTCCCTTTCTTCCTTTCCTCTTTCTCCCACCCTAGCTCCTCTTTCCTTTTGAACAATTTCTTCCCATTTCACAATATTTACTGTACATTTTGAACCTTATTTACTATTTCTCATACCAGGGAGACAATATGGTGTTTACATATGTTAGTCTGATTTATTTCACTGATGAGTATGGTCTCAAGGTACATCTATTAATCTTTAAAAGTCTCAAGTTTGTATGTCCTTATGGCTGAGTAATAATCCGCTGTATAAAAAGATCACCTTTTTTATCCATTCCTCATTCAGTGAGCATTTGGGTTGTTCCCAAGATTTAGTTATTACAAATTGTGCTGGTATAAACATAGATATCTATATCTATACATATCTATGATATGATTTTAATCCTTGTGGGAAGGTACTCAGAAGGGGAATATGTGGGTCAAACAGGACCTCTAATTCTAGTTTTTTGAGAATTCCGTACACTGATTTCCACAGCGGATTCACCAATCTACACTCTTACCAACAATGGAGAAGGGTGCCTTTTCCCCACACAGCCCTGCCACCATTTTTTTTTTTTGGTGGAACCGGGGATTGAACGCAGGCCCTTGCGCTTGCCAGGGAAGCACATATTCCACTGAGCCATCTCCCTGGCCCCCTGCCACCATTTGTTACTGGTTGATTTTTTATTTTTTTATTTATTTTTTTTTTGCGGAACCAGGGTTTGAACTCAGGCCTTTGTGCTTGCCAGGGAAGCGCTTATTCCACTGAGCCATCTCCCTGGCCCCATGGTTGATTTTTTAATGATAGCCATTCTTTCTGGGGTGAGCTAGAATCTCAGCATTGTTTTAATTTGCATCTCCCAAATAACCAATGATGTTAAACATATTTCATATATTAATTTGTCATTTGTATTTTCTCATCTGAGATGTTTTCATTTCAGATGCCCATTTCTGGATTATATCTTTGAATTTTGGAGGGCCTGATTTTTTTCAATTCTTTATATGTTTTAGATAAATCCTTTGTGGGACAGTAGGCTAATATTTCTCTCCCATTTTGTGGGGTTTTTTTTTTTTTCACTCTGTTAGTGATTTCTTTTGATATATAAAAGCTTTTTAATAAGAGATATCAGTCACTAATTTTGCATAGTATTTCCCATGCAAATCTATGCTTTGTTCATGAACTCGGGTCTCTATCTTTGTCTTCAAGATTTCCATCTACTTTCTCTTTCAGGAGATTTTTGGCTTTAGTGTATGCTCATAGACATGGGTCTACTTTTAGTGTTCTGCATGTGGAAAGTCAGTTTTTCCAGCACCATTTATTAAAGAGGCTATCTTTTAGAAGGGTTTATTCTTATCCCCGGCTCTTCCTCTGCTTTCTTTTTGTTTTGGAGCTAGGGAATTACCGACTGAAACTGAGCCAAAATGAACCACTCTTCCTTTAGGATGCTGCTAGGTATTATGTCTCTGTGACAAGAAAGGGACTGTGACAGTTCTTATTGGTAGGTTCTGGCCCTATGAATTGCTAAATTGCTATGCTGGTCATCCAACATGGCTGAAGCCCTTAAAACAACAGCTCATCTTCCCAGTGACCACTTCCTCCTTCTCCCCCAAGCCAGTCCTGGATACAATTTCCTCTCCCCTCTCCCACACACACAGGAGGGACGTTAACTGAAACTCACCCTCAAACTGCACCCCAACCCAGAAGTCCACAAAAGTCTCTGCTTTCTGTCTCGGCTCAGAGGATCCCTCATTTGCCCTCAATCCTCTGCATCTGTGGAGTCAGTACAGGTTTCTTGTATCTTTCCTAGCTCTTTACTGTGCCACTGAAAAACCTAACATCCCAATCACAAGACTCACCAGTCTTTTTTTAAAGACTCTTTTGAACATGGACTTAGATGGCATGTTGTATCCACATTTTAAATTTTCTGGGAAAGTATCATTGCTGCTGTCCTGGAAAGTCTCACAATATCTTCAAATTCTCCCTATTTTAAAAGGCAGAAAAAGAATGCAAGGACAAGCACAGCAGTAAAAGTATAGAAACGTCAATGTTGTAAAATGTCTCATTCTATGCTACTGATGATCAAGAGGCTATGTATTTAAACAATAAGGAAGTGATTAAATATTAAGCACCTGTAACTCTTCTTGCTTGGCAAATTAAGAGAGCCAACAGAAGCTCAAGATGAGCATTACTGTCCTCATGACTGACTCTGGGTGACACAGCTGATTCATAGAATTCATTAAAAAAAAAACCCCTGCTGTATGCCTTGTTAAAGCAGCCAGTCTATAATAGCAAAGCCATATCCCTATTTCTTTATTAAGTACCAGAGAGAGAATCTGGGCCATATAATAATCAAAATTCAAATTTTACTGCCCTGGTGTAACTTAAAATTTCCAAAGACCTTGTCAGAACTTCTAATAAATTAGACAATAGAGGTAGTTTCCACATGACAATTAGTAAATTAGACAAAAGTCACCCAAGCCAATTGACTCTTATTCATACATGTAGTAGCTGATACCTTATAAACATAGCCAAGGGCCGGGGAGATGGCTCAGTGGAATAAGTGCTTCCCTGGCAAGCGCAAGGGCCTGAGTTCAATCCTCAGTTCCGCCAAAATAAATAAATAAATACATAAATAAATAGCCAATGTTTCAGCCAATTCATATTCAAATGTCCTTGCTCTGTCATTTTTTTTGTTGTTTATTTCAACAGAAGTTCATGCTCCAATTTTACTTTTGCTTTCTTGACTAAAAAACAGCCAATAATTTCTTGGCTTTATCTAATTAGAAAGCCATTGATTGACTTTAATGAAACACTTTAGTTTATTTAAGTCAACTTTAGAGTTTTCTTTTGGTTTTAGTGGAAAGAGAATTGTATTTTGTTTTAAAAGTAAAATAAAACCTTTAACAATTGCTAAGTTATGGTTCTTTACAAGTTAATTAAGACAGTAGAAATAAAAAGGATATATGGGACAAGGCTTAGTAATGCACACTTGTATTCCCAGTACTCCAGAGGCTAAGAAAAGAAGGACAACATGAGTTCAAGGTCAGCCTGAGCTCCACAGTGAGTTCAAGACCATCCTGCACCACATAGCCACACCCTATCTCCAAAAGGAAAAGAAATATGCAATCTCAGAAGTTGATTTAAACAAGACAACCTCAAACTAAAATTCAACTCTAAGATTACTTTGGTAAGCACACTTACAATTTTTGAAATTATACTTACAGGTAAATGAGTAAACACTTGAAAGATGCTTCTCAAAAAGTTAATTAGATCCATTAAATAACCACTAGCTCTTCCGTCTGGCTCAGACAATGTCCAGTCATAATCAGCAAGCTGAACAAATTCATCAATTTTTTGGTTAAGTTTGGTATATATTTCTCCTTCTGCTGCATGTCGAGCATCCTGATAGGACAAAATAGCAAATACATTACAAAATATATTATAAATATATATGAAAAGCAAATAACAATGCAAGTTTCTTGAAATTCTAAATTTTATGTTATGTTTTCCTTTGATCTAATATTTTAGTCACCTATTCAAAGTCTGAAAAAATTGCTTTTTTTTTTTTTTTTTTTTGGTACTACTCTGTTTATGTGCCTATATATTACATCTTTTCTTCTTTCCCAACCTTACTATCACTTTTATGTAGCTTTACGTGCCTGGACAGTTTGGAGATATTAATATCCAACTTGTACTCGCAACTCTAATAAGACCCTTAAGAAAAACACTAGTGAGAAAACAAAAAGTTATCAAGAACAAAGAAGACCATGTTTGCCCACTAACTCACTAAGTGAAAGTAAACAGGACTGAACTGGACCATCACAATGAAAATGAAACAGGTCAGCACCGCCATCTTGTGGGAATGAAACCAACATCTGATTAGGAGCAGCTCCACTGATGTCTCTGGCTAGTTTTGCTTCCATGAATCTACAAACATAAGGAATATATTCCCAAACCTCAAGAGGCTTTTTCACAAAAAGAAATTTGCATTATGAGGATGGGCCTGAATGATGCCAGAAAGATGATTCCGTACAAACTGAAGCTTGATGAAACTGTGACCATCAGTCCTACCATAGGTTTTTTTTTTTAAATGATTTTTATTTTTATTTATTATTTTAATTTTATTGAGAAACAAATACGAATGAGACAATTTCAAAGCTGATTAATAGGACAGTTTCAATAGTCAAAACATTGTACACTGTTATCTTCTTAGTGGTTATCCATAGTACAAGAAGCAGATAGGATATCCTGTCCAAATGCTATTAGTACACCTCTTTCTTCTCTTTGAATTAAGCTAAAGTAGCTGTATATCTATCCTAATTATTTTGTATATATAAATACAAAATAATCTTTCCTTTGTATCCCCCCCTTTTTTTTGAGTCTGTCAGAGGTGGCTATTCTACTGGCATCTAAATACTATAGGTGTTCGAATTCAGCTAAACAATCCAACACTGTCTAGGAATCTATAATATTAGTGGGTTATCCTCAGAAGTTATTGACTTGAGCCTTTTACAGCTCATCGTATTAATATGGCTTTACTTTATATACCTTGTTTTTATACTTTTCTGTTAGATGGTTAAGACCAAGATAAAGCAAGACCTATGTAACAAGAAATGTAACTTTTGTATCTGATAAGGTCAGTCAAGTACACTCAGGATTTTTCCTGTAGCCCTGTATTGCACTTTGTAGATCCTTTGTCAGTGTCAGCCATAAGGATGAGTCACGGCCATTGCTTGACCAATTTGCTCTCTGAAAGTCTGAGAGAATGTTTTTTCTCTCCATGTGACTCTCCTCAGGCACACTATATATCATCAATCATATTCTTCTGTGGCTCCATGATCTCCTTGATCAGAAAATTTGGAGCACAACAGAGTTACATGTTGTTACAGTACAGGTTCTCCTATGTCCTGAGTCTTCACTGAACTTGAAAGGCTAGGGCCAAAATGTTGGCTGACCTTGCAGCCCTTCCTTTTCTCCAATTTTGATCTGTTAACTTAGGTTGTTAACCCTCCAAAAGAGATGTTTTTTGGTTTTTTTCTTTTTGTATTTTTAGGCAAGGGTCTACAGGGTGTTCAGGGTCTCACTACTAGATCAGACTCTTAGTGATCCACCTATTTACAGCCTCCCAAGAGCTGGGCTTACAGGCACACACCACCACGCCCAGTCTCAATTGTTGTCTCAGAGCGCCCCGGGGGGCAGGGCCTGGCACAGCAGGCCCAGGGATCGAAGCCCTGGCCCCTGTGCCTGCTTGCAGGTGCATTAATCTGCTGAACTATTTGGCTAGCACTACCACCATAGGTTTCAATGTGAAGACTGCTGAATACAAGAACATTAGCTTCACCTCATGGGATGTGGGCAACCAGGACAAAATCCATCCACTGTGGGATTCAGAACATTCAAAGCTTGGGCTGGTGAGACAGTTCAGCAGTCTAAGCACCTGCCTGGCAAGCGCATGGACCAGGGACTGATCTCTGGTACCACATGCAGTGCCAGCCCCATGCCACACTGGCCACAAAAACCGGGCATGGTGGTACACATCTGTAATCCCAGTGCTGGGGAGGCTGAGACAGGAGGATCACTACAAGTCCAAGTTAGGTAGTGAGACCCTGTAACAAATAAATAAAATTTAAAAAAAGAACATCCAAAGCTTAATCTTTGTGGTGGATAGCACTGACAGAGTGTGTGAGGCCTGTGAGGAGCTCATGAGGATGCTGGCCAAGGAAAAGCTCTGGGATGCTGTCCTTGTTTGCCAACAAGCAGGATCTACTTGGTGCAATGAATGCAGCTGAAAGCACAGACAAGCTGGGGCTGCACTCTATGCCACCAAGGAGGACACGCTCTATGAAGGAGTGGACTGGCTGTCCAGTCAACTCTGGAATCAGAAATGAACAAGAACTCTTCTCCCCCTCACTTCCTCCTTTCTGTCCTCTGCTTTCTTCTCATGTGGCAAACTGTGACTCTGTGGTCCTGAGTGCCAAAAGCTGTCTCCAAGGGTTGATTACAATGTGAACACACTGTTCTGTACATGTGCAGACATAGTCTGCAGCCAAATTTTTATTTAATGTAAACAGTTTCTGTGCCCATTAAGGCAGTTTCTGGTACTCCTATGCAGTATTACTCAACTTTTTTTTTCTCCCCATTTATGAATTTTTTTCCCCATTTATGTATTTGGTACAGAGTCTCACTATGCAGCTAAGACTCATAGTGATCCTCCTGTTTTCAGCCTCCCCAGTGCTGGGATTACAGGCATGTGCCACCATGCCCGGACTTAGTTGCCAGCTAGGAACCCCCCAGGGGCAGGGCCACAGTGGCATGTGAGACCTGGGATCAAACTCTGGTCCCTGCGCTTGCCAAAGCAGGCACTTAGATTGCTGAGCTATCTCACCAGCCCAATATTACTCAACCTTTTTTCTTTTTTCGTTTTATTTATTTTTTTTGTATTTTAGGGAAGGGTCCACAGGGTGTTCAGGGTCTCACTACTAGATTGGATTTGTTCAACTTTTTTTTTTTATTGTCAAGTAAAAATAATTAACTCACTGTAAGTACTGAGAAAAAAATTGGGTGCATAGACACCTGGCCTTCAGGAGCCACTGGGCTGGTGTCAGGATCCATGTGGTATCTGTTTTTAATCCAAACTTAGTGCATTTTTTAAAATAGTGAAAAATTACAAGACCACTTGAGTACACAGAAGGGAGTCTCTACATAGTATATGTTACGTAGTTTGGCTGAACATCAGATCAGTTGCTCCTCTGGGAAAACGAGAGATGTGACCAACAAACACCATCCAGTGCACTGAGCACAGCAGAGACTCTGTGGCTTGCCTATCTTTGGGTCACCTGAATTTCATAGCATTGTGCTTGTACTCACGCTCACAAGAGTGGCACACCTATTTCCAGTGCCCGCTCAGACTTTGGCCAAAGTCTGGGTCTCACAAGCAGGAGCATGTACAAACCAGGTCATTGGTTGGTTCACTTCAGACCACAGTAACAGAGCAGCCCCACCTCCATCTGTGAAGTAGCTTTCTCCTTTAGCCTACAAGGGTCCTGTTTGCCATCAGAAAGGGTAACGTCTACTTTTTTCTTTTGATTTTTTGATAAACACTGAAGAAGCTGGAGCTGTTGAATTTATCTTTTTTTTTTTTTTGGTGGAATCGGGGATTGAACTCAGGCCCTTGCACTTGCCAGGGAAGCGCTTATTCCACTGAGCTATCTCCCTGGCCCCTGTTGAATTTATCTTTGGGAAACTTCAGAACTGGTTTATTTGATGTTGTAGAACTTCTTATTGCTTTCAACACATGATTAGTAATCAACCACTTTGTATACTTATTTTCAGTTTTATTTTGGCAAGTCTTGCAATTATAGCTATTAAAATAAAGTCTCTTAACTATTAAAAACAAGGAAAGACTAGCTCTATCTGTGGAGGCTCACTGCACAAATTCCTCCTCTTCACGTGTATCAATTTTTTTTTTTTTTTTAAAGAGTAGAATATTTATTGGGAAAGAAAGCTTCTGTCCCAGAGGGGACAGAAGGAGGGCCAGAAAGGGTTGCCTCTGGGTATCGAATTTTTGTTGTTTTTGTTTCTGGTCAGCTCAGCATGCCGCGAGGGTGGGACTGAGCATCCCATGAGGGTGGGGCTGGTACAGCATGTGGTGCTGGGGATTGAACCAGGGTCCCCTGCGCCTGCCTAAGCTTGCCTAAATAGGCACTTTAGACCACTGAGCTATCTTGCCGGCCCCTGTATATTGAATTCTAAGACAGCTCAAATTGCTTATATTTAATGGTGTAATACTGGCACATAATCCATAAACATACTCTTGCATATTTTATTTATTTTTTATATTTTTTTGTCTTGTATATTTTAAACATCTCTAGATTTACAGTACTTAATACAATGCAAATGCTACATAAATCATCACTACACTAATTTTTTTAGTGATCAACAACAGGAGTGTACATGTACATAGCATGCATAATAGTTACAATTTTTTTCCTAAATATTTCTTATGTGCACTTCGTTGATAAATGTAGAATCCATAGGAAAAAAAAATCAATGACAGTTATTGAACTTTTTAAGAGGTCATAAAGGAAGAGAAATGATAATTAGCTTCTCTGAAAAAAAAAAAAAGTGATAGGAGTGAAGTCAGCAGCTTGCCAGGCATGGTTGCATACACCTGTAATCCCAGCACTCAAGAGGCTGAAACAGGAAGATCACTGTGAGTTCAAAAACAGACTGGGCTACATAGTGAGCTATACACCAGCCTGAACTACAAAGTGAGAACCTGCCTCAATATTAAAAAAAAAAAAAAAGAGTGAAGTCAGCAAAAATAGCAGAATAAAGATCTTCAAGTATTTTATCCTCTGTAAGTAATAAGAAAACCATAAAAGAAAAAAAGGTCAACTTTT